AGAAGCGGGGGGGGGGGGGGGGATCGTCGATTGATTTTTATTTACACACGTCTCTTTCTCATTGGAAGGTACTGAATATCAATGGAACCGCCAACTTGGGCGAGAACGCGATAGACTCTCTGGACCCGTCACGAAGGCCTTGGTACATGAAAGGAGGCTCCAGGAGACCTTATCCGGCGATAAGAGCCCGCAGCACCGGCCGAAGGCTGGCTCAGCTGTGGCCGGAGGAGAACGCTTACGATGATCGCGTGACGAATCAGGTAAAATCGTACAGAATTTCATGAAGTTGAGTACCAAAAAGTACCAAAGCCTGGACTTTCTATCGTTTTGATCTTTAAATGCGAATGTTTAAACGTTTAACATAGAATCTGAATTATTATTCGAAATATCGATAAACCATCTTTATCGAAATTCGCGGGTAAAATTACAGAGAAATCTACTTTTCATGAAATGTCTTACTATCTTCCTTATTGTAATATTTATTATGAATGAATATCTAAACTTTTAGCATAGAGAATATATATTCATACATACATATTGGCTTGGTTTACATCGTGCACTTGATACGCGTACTAAATAGTAACTTTCTATTAGATAGTCTTAATATCAACGGCAACGCATTCAATCAATACAATACGTTTTGTTGATGAGTATTATACCAGCTTAATATACCGTTGTTTATATATATCGTCGATATTAAGATCATCTAATAAAGTTACTATTTAGTATACGTATCAAATGCACGATATAAACCAAGCCAGTGTGTATGTATGAATATATATTCTCTATGCCAAAAGTTTAGATATTCATTCATAATAAATATTACAATAATGAGGATAGTAAGACATTTCATGAAAAGTAGATTTCTCTGTAATTTTACCCGCGAATTTCGATAAAGATGGTTTATCGATATTTCGAATAATAATTCAGATGACCGAAATTTGCAAAATCGATGCTTATCTTCGATGTTGAAATATTCCATCAAAAGATATCCACTAAGATAACAATGTACTAATACAACTATTGTTGCAGCTGATGTTCGTGCCACCCGATTACAATAGAACGAGCGGTGAGCACCCTCTGAAGAAGATAATGGTTCCTCACGGTATGTTCGAGGCCAAAGCCGGTCCTGACATTTTCTTCCAGCTACGCTGCCCGGTGAATACCTGCACGATCGTCCGCGACAATCCGGACGAGGCCGATCTCATTCTATTTAAGGATTACATCACGCACGTGGGACGGCGACCGCACAATCAAGTACGCGATGTAACAGCGAGTAATATCGGCACGGGAGAAATCACGTCGCTTTCGCTCCGGCGATCGTAAAGCCCGTGTCACATCACGGATTGGAGATGGAGGATTGTGGCTGGAAGATCAGATTTCGACGAATCTCGGTCTTGACTTGTTTTATACCAATCGATCAACTTCCAATTCGCAATTCTGTATCTCCTAAATCCGTACATTGTAAAAACTGATGTGTTAAATTTAACATTTCATGTGTCCTAAATCATCCACTCTCATTTATGTATAAATTTAACACAAAACAAATATGGTAAAAAATAATACGCATAATATGTAAAAAATTAACACAAGAATTTAACACTTGAATATTGTCAGGAATCACAGTTGTGTTAAATTGACATATGTATAATGTTAAATTAAATAAAACGTTACTTTAACATTTGAGAGAAGTATTAATCTACGGTTTTGATGAAATGAAAATGTTAAATTGACATAATCTATGTCTGATATATTAAGTATGTCAATTTAACACAATCTGTGATTCCTAATGGTATTCAAGTGTTAAATTCTTGTGTTAATTTTTTCCATATTATACGTGTTACTTTTTAATACATTTAAATTTATACATAAATGAGAGTGGATGATTAAATGGGACATATAAAATGTGTTAAATTTAACATATCAGTTTTTACAGTCAGTGTAGCATGACACAGACTTAAAGCTTCACTCATATCGCGCGTGTACGACGAACGGAGCAGCCGTTATCCTGCCAATGACTGAGAATCACATGATTTTCCGCAGGTGTGGATGCTGTATTTTTTAGAATGCCCTTATCACACGCAGAGTGTGAAGAACGCCCTTATCAATTGGACGGCCACATATCGACGTGACAGCGACGTAGTGGCACCCTACGAGAGGTGGCAATATTACGATCCCAGCGTCACGCAGATCTCGCAAACATTTAATTACGCAGCCAACAAGACGAAAAAGGTACGATAATTGGCAGTCACGATAAATTAAATTAGCCAATTAACTGATTGATAGCTAATTGATAGTTAGGATAAATAAATTTTGACCAATAAAAGCCGCGCAAGGATGTTACCAGCAAATAACATTTCCACACGTCGCGCTAATATTACATAATAAATAATAATATAATATATTACTATGTTATATAATTAATATATTCTAATAATATATTCTAATAATATATTCCTATATTATATTATAATAATATGATATATGCTCCATTTATATATAGAATTGTTACGTTCAAATGAAACGTAGTCCTTTATATGCAGTCTCGCAAAAAATACTGTCTCAGCAATATCTAGCACGGTTCTTGTTTGCCAAAATCAATTTCTAGCGATTAAATATCTGAGAACCTTCATATATCGCGACAAATATTCTTATCCCTCGCGAACTAGAATGAAGTCTGAGCTGAATATCTTTTTCCTTCCTTTTCTGCGAAATGATAGTATTAGCAAACAACGGGTCGACGAGAATGTATGTCGCTTTACACGACACAGATGACAAGACGAGATAATGCAAAGAGAAAGAAGACTGACAAGATGCTCGACTCTGGGAAGATTTTCCCAGAGCATCGTGTGTCATATTCTGCGGCAAAAATTCGCAAGTTCTCGACGTCATCCCGATTTCCTGCCGACATAGCGAACGCAACCGCACTCTGACACTCTTCTGCTTTGTTATTCCAGGTCGCCTGGTTCGTCTCCAACTGCCATCCCCGAAATCAGCGCATGCATTACGCCAGGGAGCTCTCCAAGTACATCCAGGTGGACATCTACGGGGCGTGCGGCAGTCTACGCTGCCCGCGCTCGCAGTCGCAGACCTGCTTCGACATGCTCGACGAGGACTACAAGTTCTACCTCGCGTTCGAGAACTCCAACTGCAGGGACTACATCACGGAGAAGTTCTTCGTCAACGGACTCGGGTACGCGCGCGCTCGGTGATGCTCGTCTCCGCTCACTTTCTCGCCGGCCCACACGAATTCCGCATGAACGGCCGCGGTATTTCGAATCGTGAACGCAAGTCGGCCGCAGCAGCCGATCGCTCAGGTCGGCGACCTTTGCCGACAATTACCGCGGCATTGCGTGCCAACTGCGCGCACAGAAAAATATCATTCTACTGCTAAGAAAAGCGGTTTCAGTTCCATTCCGTTAAGTAACAGTTATCTCCAACAAAGAATATTTTCTTGACAATAGTCTCGAAATATAGTCTTCACAAATTTGAGAAAAGTTCACATAATTTGAGAAAAGCTTATCGTATATACAACAGAAGAATTTATTCTCTTTAAAAGAATATTATCAAACTTTATTGAAGAGAAGCTTGGCTTGACTTTACACAGAAAAAAAGGACGTTCTTGGTTGAAAAATATCTTTGTTTTTGACATTAAAATCTTAAAATAAGATCATGTAGTGTTAAATGAGAAGATAAGTTACTTGCAAAAAAATATATCTTATATGATCCAACAGAGAAAAATCTGTTTTTATTATTCAAAAATAATTTTCACTGATGGAAAGCATAAAATATTAGATTAATATGATGTTTTTGAATAGAATGTTTATGTCGGAGGGAAATATTTATCACCAAAATAATCATATTTTACTTCTTATGAGACTATTATGATATTCAAATAAAATTATGACGTCGTTGAAATTCAAAACTTAAAAAAATTTTTTAACAAAATTATATATTACTTATATATGAAATAGTAATTGTCGACTGGAATATATTCGTTTTAAATGAATATTAATTTTTTTCCTGTGTATGTAGTGAGAACAACTGATTTTTTGTTTTAATTTAATATTCTCGATTGAAATGCTAAACTTATCGAGATTCAGAATGCACTTTGAATAAATTTCATGTTTGTGATGAGTGCATGATAGATTTACGGATATACAGACTTACATTTAAAAAAAAATGATCCTGCAGTCACAGCGAAGATTATCTAGATACGAAAAATCAGTCAAAATGGATAAATTAATCAAGATGGAAAAACTAGCAAATATTGCGATGTCGCATATGTTTTATATTTAATCAATAGAGAACGAAGACAGAATCTGAATGTAAAATTGAGCAAGAAAGTTTGTGGCGCTTGTTCAGATTAATAACTGATGACTGAACCTAAATTTTCCTGCAGATATTGCTAGAATGCTGTAAATCTGTACCATAATTTTCTAGCAGACACAGAAAAACAGCGATAAATTTAAATTATGACATATGAAATTCTAGCAAAACATTTTTTGGACTAGCAAAACTTTTTTTGCGTGAATAAAATATTTGAAACATTTGCTTGAATGCAATATGCATTTTTCTGTGTGTGCTCTTTATCTGATCTCTCACAACGGCACAATGAACAGAAATAAGTATAATTCGCGCGGATTTAATCTAGACATCCTACGCTCAAAAAAATGTTTTGCTAGTCCAGATAGAATTCTAAATGTCACTCATCTCTTGTTGCTAATCTTTAGTCTTTATCTATTGTAGTCAATTTTTATAAAAAGTGCGATTGACTTTTTTCTAGTGAGATATCACAGAGAGACTTTCTCACTAAATTTCTAAATTCTCATAAAATAAAACAGAGACAGATGTCTTTGTTACTTACAAATAAAAAACAAATGCGATGTCACAGTGTTTATCCAAATTTCGCGTATCTAAATAATTTTTGCTATGACTGTAAGACCATTTTGCAAGAGAATGAGAAATAAAAGCCTCGGATTACCTTCCGACCGCGATCAATTGTCCTTCTTATCAAGAGTCTCTCTTGTCAAGAGTTATCTTGTCTTTCTTTCTGCCCGAAAACGCAGACACAACGTTTTGCCGATCGTGATGGGCGCCCACCCGACGGACTACGCGCACAGCGCGCCGTATCGCTCCTACATCCACGTGGACGAGTTCGAGTCGCCGAAGGAGCTGGCAGAGTACCTGCACCGGCTGGACCGCGACGACGAGCTGTACAACTCGTACTTCCGCTGGAAGGGCACCGGCGAGTTCATCAACACGTATTTCTGGTGTCGGGTGTGCGCGATGCTGCACGACGACCGTCCGCCTAAGTACTATAGGGACGTGAACGAGTGGTGGCGAGGCGAGGGCGTATGCACGACCAGCTCGTGGCGCGAGCACGACCTCGTGCGCCCGCAGAATTTCCGAAATACTTGAGGAGGATTCGCCTGGGGAAACGTCCGAAAGGCTCTTCCGGCGGCTAGTGGGGAGTTCCTTGCGTGCGTGCGTGCGTGCGTGCGTGCGCGCGTGAGTCCGCCCGACACGTTGCTCAATTTCTACTAGCGATTCCGATTCTTCCAAGGTAAAATATTGCCCGAGCCGAGGAGCAACGGCAGCAACGTGAAGGGAGCGTATCGCGCTCGCGTCCACAAGAGGAAGTCGGCATTCAGCCCGAAAGTATGGACAGCGTCCTCGTTTCGCGAGCACTCAAGCCACCCTGGAGGAGGTATTATTATAAATAAGACTTCTCTCCGGAGAGGAGACGCAATATACCCCTCCGCTCGTTGACTTTCGGGGGGAGGGGGCGCTCGAGAATACGACTCGGAGTGTGCGGTTGTGAATCTTCGCGTTTTTTTGCGCAAATGCGCAACGAGCGAGATGCAGAGTTGCCTTTCTATCGATCTCATCGAGACGCGAGAGCGACTGAACGAGAGGGTGAGCGGGGATGCTTTGAGGAATTAACGCGAAGAATCGTACGCGATCAAAGGTTATGCGTGATATTTTGTTCTCTTGTTTTTCTTCTTGTGTTTTTATTCTTTGAGAAAGTATGTATGTGTGTGTATGAATGTATGCATGTGTGTTCGCCTAATTGTCGAATCTTCCAGAATAACGTTTCTACGCACTCCTTTTTCGGACGATAAGCTCAAGCGTAAAGTACGAGAGAGGCGAAGACAGCCCTGACAGGCTCATGTGAGATCACGCGATATCACGATGAAATTTACGCGGTGACGAATGTGTGATGTTTTGTAAGAATTTGACGAAATTGCGTGTATGGGAGATCGTGTCAGGAAATCATGTGACACTAGCATCTCGCGGGAATGAGGTTTGCTTGTGCAGAAAACTTAATTCTCCGCGCACGTTTAGCGAAGGAGAGAGAAAGAGAGTCACTCCGAGTTTCGTTCGTTTGATCTGCAAAGGACACGCGAGACGCGAACTTGAGACCAGACTCAATTTTGCATTCGTTGCGAAATGTGCGCCGAGAGTGTGAGTTAATGTGTGCGCGTCCCAGAGCCCACCGAATGATCTTTCAACTGTAGCATGGACAATTACTCTAGAGGACCAACTAAGACCAACTAAAAATTAATTGTTTAAACAATCGAGGCGTCGGCACTTGCGCCGATATTGCAATTGACAACGAGTATCGGTTTCCGGCCGAAATTCGGGCTTTGTAGATGAGTAACGAAATCAAATTCTTTGCTCGATTTCAACTCTATTTTATCTCGAGAAATAGAAATTTGAGTTCAGGTCCAATTGTTCAAGGTATGCCCGCAACGAGGAATTCGGGAGAAACAACGATTTGTTGGGTGGTTGTTGCTAGATACTAATCGACTGCAAACATCTGTCGCGACAGCTGTGGTTGGAAGAATAATCGGTGGATTTAGGACCGCAAAGAATTGCGGCTCGAGAGATGGAGAAAGCAGTGTGGTGATTACATTCGAACGCGAACCATGCAATATCGTTGATCAGCGGCGTTTGAAAATGTCGAGGAAATTTGAGCTTCAATCGGCGGGAGAGAGAAGGAGTGAGACGAGACAGTCGCCGCTTTTCGGTAGCAATAGCGAGCACAGCATGAAACCAAGTTTCATGCGGGTTATCGTACTGTTCAGTATTTAAATATTATTGTTCCTTCTTGCGCGTTCTGCGAGAAGATCTCATCGTTAGACGTGTAGACGGGGAGAAGCAGCAGATTCGTGTGCATTTACGTTGCCTCGCGTGTAGGAATTCCGGTGAGCTTTACTTTCCCGACAATAATCGTGTATTTTTTTACCATGTACTCGCGTGTGTTAGGTATTTGCAAGATCAACGTGGTGTATTATGCGTTCTCCACGCGAATATAAATTTATTCTCTTTCTCAGCTCAACGCTCAAGGGACGTCGACCGACTCGCAAGATCTCTCGAATTATTTGTGTGTTTATCGCAAAAAAAGGACAAAATAAACAATGATTTCTTTCGCGCGGGACGAAATGCATTTACCGAGCTGCGTGCACTCAAGAAAATCTTTTGCTAGTCCAGACAGAATTATCCAAATGTTAAAATTCATCGCTGTTTTTTGTATTTGCTAGAAAATTGTCTGTAGTATATAGAATTTATACATTAGCAGCATTCTCTAGCAATACTTGCAAGCAAATTTAGATGGGCGTGCGAAGATTACACATTTGTTTGTCTCTCGTTGCTAATTTTTTTCATCTACCAATTTTCATAAGAAATATAACTGGCTTTGATCTGGATAGTCATAGGGAAACTTTCTTGCTAAATTTGCAAACAATTCATATAAAAATTCTATCTCTATATTGATCTATATCTACACTGCAAATTCGAGTGTGTTATTCTTAAACGCATAAACGTATAATTGGCTGAAATTCTCCTCACGCGTCTTCTGCGCATTTTAAATTATGTCATTCAACACGTTTATGATGTATAAATTAGAATTTTATACGTTTGAGCGTGTTAAATGATACAACTTGAGACAGTAAGAAACATGTAAAAAAAGATTCAGCTAATTATACGTTTTATTATGCGTTTAAAAATAACACACTCGGATTTGCAGTGTATATTCATCTACATTTATCTACATTGATAAACAGAAAGCGCATGCGATATCGCAGTGTTCTCTAATTATTTATCCGTCTTAGTTAATTTCTCATCTATGACTGCAAAAGCATTTTCTTCAGTATGGCATTTGCCGACGAACCAGTAACATTGCTCACGACAAGCTCACGTGAATTTTTACGAGAAGCGCTTGGGAGAGTCTCTTCCACGCGGGTCGGGGGGTGCGCACGAGTCTTATTACTTAAATAAGTGCGCCATTTCGTCGAGGATTTTCGAGGTTCGCAGAATCTAGTCAGAGGCGTAAGCTCAGCGAGGTATTTTCGAATAATTTACGACGGTAGTATTATACGCAGCGAGAGTACCTGTTCGAATAATTCCTACTGTATTTCCTTTCGCAATTGCGAATCAATCTTCGGTTAAATTGACCGCCCGTGCGAGACGCAACGCGTCCCCAATCGCGCGCGACCGCAATGATACGTTCACTCTGTGCGGCTAGTGTCAGAATTCGAGAACAACGACTGCCGTTGTGTGAACACTAATCCAGCTCAAACTTAGCTCAAGTTGTTGGACGGATTTTTGGTCCTAGAAGGAAGATAGAAACACCGGCGAGCAAAAGCAGAGCGTGAAAAGAATACATATTCGAGAAACGCACGAAAGAGATGGAGAGAGAGAGAGAGAAAAAGAGAGAGGGGAAAGATATACTCACAAACACACACGCAAAAGGATCACAATCGAGTCACTTCGAGGCGGGTCACTGCCGGCCCGCCCTCGAACGGTTCCTACATTATAAAATTACTCACAGTGCGCACAAGCTGCAACTAGTTACTTAGATAATTAAGTAATTAAACGATTTAGCCGGACGATCATGCAAATTAACACCGAGGAGACGCGCATATCTTAAGTATCTCGACGACCGTTTCCTTTCCACTGTGGCGGAGGTGATATATGCTGATACGTTAATGTTTCAGATAGATATGTATGTGTTGCTTTAGCGATTGTAATTTATTTTACACCAATCGACGCGCTTCAGTGATTCGTTTGAGTCAAGTTAGGTCAATTCTTTCAGATCGATTTAGTTTTAACATAAAAAAAATGTTTATGTTAATCCGACACCTACACCGAGAAAATGATACTTAAAAATTTACTCTCGCGGGACATATAAAGTTTATCACTGTGCGAATAAACTATAATAACTTTATAATATATTTTTAAGTATCTGTTTTCTCCGTGTAGTTATCATTTCGGCGACTCTCACGCTAAGAGAAAATATCTCAACACTTATTTGTGGGATTTAAGATTTATTCACAGAAATAAACTTTATTTCGCAGAAATAAGCTTTATATCCCACAAGTAAATTTTCAGCTATTTTTCCTCAATTTCTATTAGTTACTTCATGTTACTGCGTGTTAGGTCGTTTTAATTTAATTTCCTGGATAAGTGACAAAAGATTGAACGTTACCGTTAAGTTATGCACGTTTAAAGAATCAATCAAAGGACAGGACAGAACGACGAAGCCTCGGTGGCGACACGAGCTTCGCCGAGACTCCTGATCGCATTTTCGCATTTATTAACGATTGGTGCTGCTTGTAACGATTGGTGCTGCTTTACGGCGTTATGCGAACATATACGACGATGACGACGAAATCTTGATCCGAGCGGCCAGCCTAGTACCGAATAAGTACCGAAATGTAGTAAATTTAGGTATTGAAAGGGGCGCGACAGAATAACGCTCGATGTCAGAGCACATCCCCGCGGCGCGATATATGTGATATAATGAAATGTATTTGAACGAATCGTAAAAGGAGGAAGAGAAGAAAAAACAGGAAAACCTGATGAACCTGATTGGAGTCCCCTCGAGATGTGCGTGCGCCTATTACGTGCGCGCGTTTCCTCGAGCGACCTCGATCGATATTTTTGCCCGCCCTGGATTCAGTAATAAATACAAAATGTTACTACTTACTACTCTCTCGGTGATTACCCGTTGTCAATCTAGATAGCACGATGATTTGTAAATAGTAGCATGTACGAATGTATCATGATATTATTGTATGTAAAAAAGAGGTAAAGCGAAAGATAACGAAAAGAACGGGGAAAACGACGAGAGAGAAGGGAACACTGTATGTCATATTGTATGTTAGAGAAGCAGGCCCGTATTAATACTTGTCACCTGGAACTTGTTTCATGTGAGATACTCAGATTTTTATTCAGAGTTAGATTCAAGTTGAATTATATTACATATGCATATATAAAATATATGTTGTATAATATTATATTTATATTATTTATATATTATTTTATATCTCATATTTTATTATTATATATATATATATATATATATATATATATATATATATATATATATGTGACACATCTGTGTGTGTCTGTGAATAACAGCGATTCAACTAAAAAATTCAGATCTAACTCCGAATTAAAGTCTAAGTGCCTCACTTGAGACAAGTTTCAAGTAATAATTGTTATTAATAATAATTATTACTTAATAGTAGTTACTTGAAGCTTATCTTATATAAAATACTCGGACCTGGATTTAAAGTTGAATCTGAGTTTTCTAATCGAGTCATGTGATATATATATAGTCGTTACCTGAATACGACATACCATAATATGACATGATATCAACAATTTATGCAATTTATGCAATTAAAATAATTATTTATGCAACTAACAAACTCAAGTCTAATTTTAAATTCAAATCATAGTATCTTACATGAAATCAGTCTCAAAAATGACTATTGATACTGGTCTAAGGCCCATTAAGAGTTGTTACTTGAAGCTTGTCTCACGCGAGATACTCAGATTTTTATTCAGAATAAAATCCAACGGAAAAATCCACATTTAATTTTGGATTCAAATTTAAATATCTTACTTAGGACGAGTTTCAAATAATAAATATTAGAGTACGGGTCCCTCTGAGGGTGTCGATCTTGATGGCAGATGATGTATTCGACTCGGATGATACGGAAAAATTTATAGATAAAGTCGTATGACGTCAGTCAGTCAGAACGTGGCTCGTTCTATCTCGCGGAGGCACGCTTATTATTTTTGATCGGACGAAGCCCGCAGTCAGCAAGTCACGATTCAGTACCATAATGTCGCGAGATCGTGAGAATTTAATCAAAATTCGTGTCATTGTCTCAACCGTTTACATTCACGCGCACACCATCATCTTCTTCCTCCTGTAGTTGGAACGCGACGGGAACTTCACGCGATGAATATTCCTTTTCTGATCATGTCGAGCACGCGCCCGCGCGTGAAAGGTTACGACGCAATTGACGAAATTGCGAATTACAAATCACGAGTCGTGAAATTGTCGTTGGGGTTCAGTTGCTTCGTCCAATTTCGGCGAACGGCGTTTAAATTGAAGCAAACATTTGTATGCGTATTTCTTTTCTGTGTGTATGTACATAGCTCGGCAGCAGATCGCGACAGCCGATTCCGTCTTTCGTTTCATAACGTTAAATAGTATTCTTTGACAATGTTCCAAAAGGCGTCGCAGCTGTTTCCGAGTATGTTGAATTCCGCGACGTTCTATCGAGCGCAGCCACACTGAGTTGTATGTGTTTGTATAGTCGTATCGATGTTTACGCGCATTCTTGATCCAAGGAATAAAGACGAATGCTATTCTTAATTCCACCGAATTTTTCACTACCGGCTCCTTTTTCAATTACGATATCTGATTGCTACACAACCAGAGTGAATACTCCGGTAAATGTCACGTCAGCCGATTTCTGATTGCCACAACTAGATCACATGCAACTACATTGATGTACACTAAAAAAATTATTTTTGTATTTTTGGATTAACTAAAATATTCGGTACGTACAATTTGATTGGCGTTACTATGTTTTTAGTTATATAAAGATGTGCATGCACTATTGAGAAAGCAAAATGTATATAGCAGCAATTAAATTCTTTTATTGCAGTTATTAGACATTTGGTTAGTAACCTATTTTAACCAAATTATAGCCTGATATACTAAATTTTCGTTTCGACAATAAAATACTCTTCAGTGTAGTTGATGTACCAAAGTAACCGAGTACACAGTGCCATCACACAAAGATGATTAGTGCAACTATGCCGCTTACAATTAAATATTTTTGGTTGTGTGCACCATATCTTCTTTTTCCATATAGCAGACTTCCTAACAATACATTTCACTTAAAATAACACATACAAAGTGAAAGAATAAAGTAAGATAAGTAACACACATAAAATGAAAGGATAATCAATTATTTTAGAACATCGATTTCTCAGTTTGCAAAATTCCATAACAATTTTTACCATGAGATTTTCTCTCTCCACGTAGAAAAAAAATTCCTGAAAAGATGCGTGATCTATAGTTGTTCTTTAAATTATCAAAATATTTTCGCATCAGTCATCGCATTCATGGCTTTTTTTATGACTAAAAGCGTCTCTAAGAACAGCTTATAACGAATCAGAAGGCTCATGAGCCGTTCTTAAAGGCGCTCTTAGCGATAAAAGCGATTTAGAATACGTGTCTTGATTTTCTACGATTTTTTACAACAAACCACCGATGCTGATACGCGCGAGAGAATCGGCGTTGATATTTTTAACACGCAAATATACACACGTAAAAAAAATGTGAAAAATTCAGCGACGATGTCAATAATATAACGACATCGGAGACGAGTGATGGCGGTGATGTTTCTTTCTAAGCAAGACAGAGACACGAGGACACGAGGGAAATCATTTATTCGCACGTGCTCAAAAGACAAGAAAGGATACACGCGTCGCCTCCCTAATTTATGTAACATCAAGATCGTATCGGTCCCCCACTCTCGTCCCTATCCGGTTCGTTTTCATCGTTGGTATATTTGTCGTATGTTTTTCTTTCTCTCTCTCTCCCTCTGCGAATTTTGTAAATTCCATTCGGGGACGACAAAAAATGCCGTATGCGCGGAGTATTCCTGCCCTCCGACAGCGAAGAACGACTTATCCATAAATGTCAAGGATGACATGAGCACGCGCGGGGGTGTCAAAGAAGCGACTTTAATCACGGCGGGGTCCACGGATTCGGCAGTGTATATATATATATATATATATATATATATATATATATATATATAGGATGGGGAAAAAAGTCGGTACCCCTAAATAACTCAGGAAATACAAGTTTTATAGAAAAATGTTTCAGATAGAAGTTGTAGGGTGTAAAGAGATCTATTTATTAGTATTATTAGTTTGACTTTGGATGGGATTGCCAAGGTCAGAACAAGGTCACCTTGAATTTTTTAAATGGAACCCCTTATTTTTTATTCCATATTCTTGTAGTTTATTGCAAGAGCTTTTCAAAATATTGTAAAAATGTATTTTTCATTAAGTACTTTTTGAATAATGAAACTTGAAAATTAGAGTACCGCCGGCATTAGCATTACCCAAGGTGTATCATATACGAAGGTCGGATTTACTCTTTCGTGTATGTGTGTGTGTGTGTATGTATGTATATGTATAAGTATGGGTGTGTGTATATGTGTATGCGTATGTGGGTGGGTGAGTAATGCTAATGCCGACGGTATTCTAACTTTCAAATTTCATTACTCAAAAAATACTTAATGAAAAAATACGTTATTATAATGTTTTGGAAAACTCTCGAGATAAGCTATGAGAATATGCAATAAAAATAAGAGGTTCCATTTAAAAATAAGGTGACTTGTCCTAACTTTAGAGACCCAAAGTCAAACTAATAATATCAATTAATAGATCTCTTTATACGTCACAACTTTTCTCTATCTGAAACATTTTTCTATAAAACTTATATTTTCTGAATTATTCAGGGGTATCGACCTTTTTCCCCACCCTGTATATATATGTGTGTGTGTGTTTTCTTTCCTCTATCCCAATTGTGCTTTGAAGCATCGGAATATAGGAGTGTCCTTACCAGTCAATAATGACTAATAGTGACACGCGGGCGAATAAAGCTTAACAGTTGCAGATGTGCGCGGTAGGACGATTTGATGACTTCTACGTGTCGCACAGCCACACTGAGTTGCACATGTTTATATAGTCGTATCAATATTTACACGCATTCTTGAACCCGAATTAAGGCAAATGCTATTTTTAATTCCGCCGAATTTTTCACTATCAGCTCCTTTCTCAATTACAATATCTGGCTGCTACAACCAGATTGTGTACATGATAAATGTCACGCTAACCGATTTCTATTCAGATAGTGCAACATCTCCTGGGAATATCCTGGGGGCATTTTCAGGACATCCTCATAACGTCTTTAGGATGTTCTATGGAGATCTGTGCTGTTTAGATAATTGCCACAACCAGGTCACGCGCAACTACATCGATGTACACTGAAAAGATTATTTCCGTATTTGGAATTAAAATATTCCGTACATACAATTTGGTTGGCATTACCATGGTTTTGCCTGTGTTAAGTGCATGTATTATTGAGAAAACAAAACAGACATAGCGGCAATTAAATTAAATCGTGCTATCTCATGCGTGGGAGAGGGGAAAGAAAGAAAGAGACGCGTTACACACGAGATAGGTGAGAGCCCTGCTAGACTCTTTTGCGTGCGCACGTACCGAGTGTCCTCAAGGAGCGTGTATACCGGCCGGATCTCATTTCCGAGATAATGCACGGCTGATATATATTGCTGGCCGATATATTGCTGGATGTCGCGGGAAGCGCCCGCGAGTTCGTTAGAATTTACTTAACCGTGAGGTACGCTTAATGGCGAAGCGCAACGGAGACGTGTAATATTGAGAAAGTTTGTTCACCAGGTATGTACCCAAGGGGTGTGTATTTTTCTCAAGGGAGCTACTCATATATTCATTATTTATCGAGCGAAATTACATTTTCGTATATTTATCACGTCGCCATCTGAATAATAAGTGTTAATTCGAGATTGATTTCTTACGGTACCACCTCTTGCGCTCAGTGTAACGCTACTCAAAGCACAAAACAGCAACAATCTACACTGCAATTACACAAGAATAATGTTGTGAATACTTCTCTTTCTTCTGTTACATTTTCTAATACGTAACATTTATAACAATAAGTTTTTTGTTCAGATGATATTACTTTTCACGAAGTTACACCAAAACAATAAGCATCTGTATTGTTTCCACTACAAGAGGTTATATTAGTAATCACAATATTCAGTACTAAGTTTCTCACCAACGACGCAGACAAATCGCACGAGGCTTTAACTACGAATGTGTTTTACTGCGACAAGTGTTAAATTTTTGTACAATTTCCAGTATTCTCGTTGAAGCGAATAAACTTCTTAAGACTCTGGCGCGCGCAAGCAAAACACATGGCGCTATCGCGATAGAATGTACAAAATTCACAACGCGGTCCTGAAAAATACATCGGGGTCGAGAATGAATGTCGGGCATCGATGCGGTCTTGATGTTACATAAATTACAGGCTTTGGAGCTGGCGCGCTGTCTCCCCGCCACCGCTCCCTCTTCTATCTGTTTCAATTTTAAATTTCAGAACGGCGGTAGCAAAGTGTCCTGATTGTAACAAAATAAATAGAGTCTTTATAAACATCCCGTACATGCACATATACCGCACAGGTAAATAACGCGTGTTTATCCATCGTTATCTAGGTCAGTTCAGGTCGACGAATTTCGAAGTGACTAGTAGGAGAGGATCTCTCTTCCTCTCCTCTCTTTTTCCTCTCTTTCTCCTTCTCCTTTTTCCAAAATCATTTCTCGTAAAGGAAGATCCGTATGCGACTTTTTGTTGTGCGCGAGGCGCGGTAATCCAAAGTTGAATTATTCCGTATAAAAACAACAGTGGAAATAACGAGAGCGCCACTCAGCTGGGCGCATGAAATCCTGCTGCTTATCTTAAAAAACACCTCGTCGCTAAGTTAATTAGCCCCAGGGACGCTCGGCGGCGGAAACAATTGCGACGCTTAATTGTCAGAATGTAAGTATATTTACCGGCGCGCGCAATTATTCTGTCCGCGAGCGAATTTATTGGAAGGCGAAATGCAGGGAAAAAGCGCGCGCGCGAAAGAGAGAGAGGAGAGGGAGAAAGAGAATGTGCACAGATATATTAGAGACCATTTGTTTCGGGATAAAGCGTAATGCGTCGTGTGTTACTCCGCCGCGGCTGGACCAGCGCACGCGTTTTCGCCGCGTTTATACGCAGCAACGCACGTACATTCTGCCGCTAATGGACAGTCGATTAAACTTCCACGATGTCGGCTTTTGATTTCCCGCTACTGCCGTTTCTTCCCCGAGACGGAAGCGGAAGTAGCTCACAATGGCGACAAATAGGAATTTACTATTCAAAAATCGCTACAGACCACAATTTTATAGCTATTAGAATGAATTTTTTTTTTTATTAAACTTTAATCAATGTAGAAAAAAATTGTCGAGCCCAATTTTTTAAAAAATTCTTCTAAATGTTGTATAATTCTTCTAAATGTTCTAAATATTGATAAGAATTTGTTAAAAAATATCAAGTTTTGCGAGCTACTTTTCCAATTGGAAAACTTTCTATCTTTTCGCTGCACAGTACAGTGTACTAAGATTTTCAGCATCGCTGATTACGAATCTGATATAAAACTCAGAATTTGGCAATTGACAACTACTAATCTCTTGTCAACATAAACAAAGTCATTGTTTTAACTTTTT